CTTTATTGCCCTCAGTACAGTGCTGTGGCATCACAGCTCACAGCAACCTCCAACTCCTGGGCTTAGGCGATCCTCTTGCCTCAGCCTCCTGGGACAGGAGGTAGCTGGGACTACAGGCACCTGCCACAACGCCTAGCTATTTTTTGTTGCAGTTTGGCCGAGGCCAGGTTCCAACCCGCCACACTTGGTATACGGGGCCGGCGCCCTACACACTGAGCTATAGGCACTACCCAAGTGCTTCTAGTTCTAAGAGATTCCACCTCATTGACTCTGGATGTGTCCTGTGGGTAATCCTTCTTCATTGCCCATCTCTCTTGACAACCTGGGTTTCTCCTGAATCTGTTGGACCAACCTGATCTCCATGTTGGCATGGGCCAGAATGTGGACTAGTAGGGTTGCATCCAGACAGAGGGCATGCCCTACAAGGACATGAGCAGCATCCTTGCCTGTTCTTCTTGATCAGTGAGAATGACTAGGCAGAGCAATTCAAATGCAAGAAAACTTCCAAGTCAAGAACACAATGAACAGAAAAACATTATCTGAGGAAATACTCAAGGAAAGAAAAAAAGCTAGAGGCTTTTTGCATCTTGGATCTAACTCAGCCCTTCTAAGAGACCTGGCATTCTGCAGAAGCTGAGTGGCTTCTTCAGTCCCTTCAAGGACTGTGGCTGAGAAGTCCCAGTGGGAATCAGAGGAATCAAGGCCTGATAAGCTATCTCTCTCCCAGGTCCCTGAATCTTCTCCAGACTGGTTCCTAAATTGATCATCACTTAATCAGAGGTGCCTTTACAAAGCCATTCAGGATAATTCTCTCTGGCTAGATATTATTTTTCCCCCACATCTCAATGGGGTCTCTGGTGCCACTTTAAGGGCAATTTTGTGATGTACAACTAACTTCCTGCCTTTTCAATAGGCAGCTTCAGCTGTTGGGAAGTGAGAAAAAAGTGATGAGAATCCTTACTTTCTGCAGCTTCCAATCCTAGTTCTGCCACCCAAGCTTGGGAAAACCCCCAGAGTCTGAATCTGAGCCTGACAGCCCAAAGGTGCCCCATCCCCAAAGCCCATTTCAGCCCTACCTCTTGTTTGGCACTGGGGTCATGGGCCTGAAGCCTGGATTCTACTCACCCACCTTGCATTAAGTCCCACCTTATTATCCCATCTTATGGAATCACCCTCTCCAGTGGGGTAGTTCTGTGCTGCCTCTGAGAGAAGCAGTTATGAAGGTTAATCTGTGCTAAGAAATCTAACAGCAGTTTAGAGGCTCACACCTCCTTCGTTTTCCTCCTCTCTTCCTCCACTAACACAGCCAGTCAACCCACCCAGAGCAGGGGCCTGGTCACTGATAGAGAGGGCGGTGGCTGGGCCTACCAGCCTGGAGTCGCCTCACTAAATCAGGCTAAATACTCCAAGGCTAGCCAGAACTAAATTCCCACGTGGAACTTCCTCCCGGCCCAGATTCCCTGACCCTGCCCTCGCCGCAGAACCACAGCATAGGTTCCACCGAGGGAGCAGTAGGTGTCGTGCACTCCCAGCGAGCACACAAGCAAAGGAGCGTTCACCTACACCCTAGCCGGGCTATGGTCAGGAACCGGATGAGGGTCCCAAGCCCCGGCTGTGGCAGGCGGGCGCCCTTACCCATGCTGACTCTGGAGCCGGCCGGGTGGCGCTGCCCATCCCCGGATCCTTCGCAGGCGGGTGGCAGGACGCGGGGCTGGGGTCTGCCCGCTAGTCTGCCTGCACAGCTTGCCGGACTCGAGCAGGCCGGGCCAGACCAGACGGGGCGGGGCCCTGAAAGCCCCATCCGGACGATCCCGACCACAGAAAAGGGCTCGGCCATGGCACAATACGGTGCACCAGCCGCGAGCACGGTACCGCCCGGAAAGGCGCCTGGCTGGCTCCCTCTGGGTTCCCCGCGGCCGCCGCCTCAGAGGACCGGCGGGAGGCGGAGTCGCGCGCGACACATGGCCCGGGCCCTGCGCGGCTTCGGGCCGCCGGGGTGGGGATGGGAGGGGCCGCCAAGGGACTTTCAGCGGAGCCTCCGGGCGTCCTGGAGAGCGGCTCCTGCGGCCCAGTCCCCGCCCCGGCGTGCTGGCACCGACAACTCACCCGAGGGGCTGGCACGATGGCGGCAGCGGCGGCGGCAACCCAGCGCGGTCTGCGACCGACTGTCCCTTCCCCCCTGCCTTCCCTCGCCCGGCCCGCTGCACTCTGGGAAATGCAGTCCCACCGTTCCCCTTTCTGACACAGTATACCAGGAAAAAACTACACTTCCCGGTGTGCTACGCGCGGAGGCCCACACACGGCCCGCAGCGCGGGAGGTGAGGCTAAGCCGTGGAGGGAGGCTGCCGGGGCAAGCCCCTGAGAATTGTGGTCTAGCGGAAGCCTCTGGAATACTGGAGGTTGGCGCCAGGCAAGGGTCAGGGCTCAGTTGTCGCCTGGTCCCAGCTGGCCCGGCCCCGCCCAGGCTGTGCGTTAATGGAGATTGGCTCCGCCCCCGTGGGAGCCCGGCCTGGCCCCAAGCCGGCCCAGCCGCCCCTCCCCGGGCCCCTGGGCCGTTTCCGCTCGCTGAAACCCTCTCCCTTTTGGAGCTTTGGCTGCCTCTTCGGGTATTTGGAGTTCTACGTCCTTGGCCAGCTGAATGGAACCCACGACTTCTGCTGCCCTAACATTTGTGTCTTGCCCCACGCCAGTCGGGCCCAGAGCTGGTTGGAACAGACTTTGCTCTTGGGCTGGAGACTCAAACGCCCCTAACGTGGGACTCGGCTGGAGAAGTTGCTCTCTATTCGTACAGTTAGTGCCTCCAAATCATTCCCATAAGGTTTTGTTTGTTTTGGTTTGTTTGCAGCAGATAGGGCAACCATAAGTTTCATTTTTAAAGTTTCCCCTTGATGAGAGTGACCAGATTGTAAATAGCCCTTCTCTCACCCATTGCCCTTGCTTTTCGATGCCCATTTCCTTGTTTCCTTGGTAATGCAAACATTTGAAGTAAGGGCCTCTCTCTAGGTCAGGCCAGTGCTAGGCAAAGGGCTCTGCAACCAACCTAAAGGACCACAAGTAAGGGAAATGGCTACGGGTCTTCAGACAGCTCCTAGCTTGCCTTCCTGGCCAGAAATCACTCAGTACTCCTGTTTTTATAGAAGTTTCACACCGTTGCCCACTCTTATCCCACCTTCCTGGAGATGGGTGGTTAAGACTAGGTCAAGCTTCTGTTTATTAAATCCCTGCTCTGTCCACACTACACTTTGCCTGACTAGATGCTTTTATTATTACTCAGCAGTGAAAACTCTGCATTGCCCTAGCTACATATGATGCATCTGGATCTGGGACCTCCCTTGCTTAGTGAACTATCCTCTCCCAAGAAGCCAAAACACTGGACAGGTGTGCACGTAATCTCAGACATCAGGGAGGAGCCAAAGAGTGGTGCCTTTTGAAAGATTCAAGAGGGCCAAAGCAGAACCAGCAGAAGTTCCTTCAATAAATAGGAGCTCAAGAATACATTAACAAGCATGGCTAGAACCTGGAAAAGAGCTAACCTAGGAAGGCAGGTACCAACCTCTTCCTCCAACTAGGCAACTATACCACCTGTGGTGCACCATCCCTTCTTCCCTATTACATTTGTTTCCCAATTCAGTGCCAAGGGACCAGAAAGGAAACAAGTGTTTTAGACCATACCAGCTCACTAAGTTCCCAAACAAATAACATAAAGAGAGTTATATTTTGTGGAGGCTGAAAAGTGTCTATTTGTGCCTCAAAACCCATAGAAAACCCATCACTTAAAGGCATTTGCCTCTCCCTATTGGCTTTGAGGTAAATTACCTGGAGCTATAAAGAAAAATGTCACCCTCACCCCTCCAATATCCAATCTAAAGAATAGATGCAGCAAAGAAAATGAGTCACAAATCCCAACTCCTTAATGGCCTCTAAGGATCCAGCTTCACACTGAAGGTGTACCAAGGCAAAGGTTTCTGTACAAGACTGTTGTGCCTGAAGAACCCATGGCTGGCTCCAACTATGGTCTTTACTGGTTTACTAAATATCTGCATGCACATGTGTACCAGATGCTGTGCTAGACCTAAGGGATGTAAAGGTTAGCAAAGTTCAAGCTCAGCTGAGAATTCAAGACAAAACTCAAAACCCTCAGAGGTGA